CCCTGACGGTGGGGCGCGTGGGCAGCGCCGGCGGCTCCTCCTCCTTGGGCTTGTCTTCGAGCTTGCCTATCCCTCTCTGCCTGAGCGCGTCCAGCATCAGCTCCATCGAGCTCAGCGCCGACGACAGAGAGGAGGAGGACGACGCCATCGGTCGTCCCCCACACGGATCAATCTCAAGTCAATGCACACCAAATTATAGCTGCTGGACCACTCCGCTCTATTGCACCATCCAAAACGAGCGTCTCTGAATTCGTACCAAATGATCGAATCCCCTTGGCTTGTTCAGAAACGGAACGAAGCGGAACCGTCGATCGGCGGGAGCGGGTGCGGAGCGGAGGAACTCCGCCGTGATAACCTCGTCGGGTCAGGAGGGATGGGGGAACGGATTGCGGGGAGGAACCGCGGCCGGAGAGAAGAGCCCGGCCGCGGGGCACTAGCCAATCGCGGGCTCGCGCTGCATGGCGGGGGCGTTGGGTGCTTCTTTTCTCAAACATTTCTGGTTGCACGCGCGTACGTACGGTTTGGTGTCTGGGCTGTGCAGGTCGCCAAGGTCGCCTTCAGTTGCAAGCATGGACGGTTCTCCGTGCCACGAGGGGATGGCCTTGCCAAATTTAGAAGAAAATGGTGAAGACTGGTCGTCAAATCAAAGAAGCCGCCCGGAGTTGGACCTATGGGACAACATATAATGTCTTCACTCAAATATAAGTGCCATCTTTCTACAAAAGAGGACACTCAGGCTGCGTTTGGTTCAGCTTTTTTTACCAACTTCTGCTTTGAAAAGCCAAAAGCTAACCAAAGGGGTAAATGTTTAAAGCAGCTTTTGTGAATCCGTAGCTTCCCCCTAGTGTAAATTTCAAAGCTGGGGGTACCCTAACTTTTCAGCTTCCAGCTTTTCCACAGCAGCTTTTCCACAATAACTTTTTCAGAATCTGCAGCTCAACCAAACACAGCCTCAGTAAGTGTCTGGGCATGGAAGTTACCGACTACGAAGGAACATATATCTTGTCGCGACACCTAACATTCACTCTAACAACATAGTACATGAAAAGGGTAGATTTTGACTGGCATTGCATCCCCCCTCGAGGAAGATCCGGTGGGGTTTTACTTGGGGTTAAGTGCGAAACGTTGAAAGTTCGGAGTGTAGTTTTGGGGGATTTTGTTGTCAAGTTTCGAGTTAGAACTAAGGCAGATGGGTTTGATTGGGCTTTGGTGGCGGTGTACGGAGCTGCGCAACCAGAGCTCAAGCCAGACTTTTTGGTGGATCTGGTTCGTATTTGTGGTAACGAACAGCTCCCCCTCTTAGTAGGGGGGGGGGGATTTCAACATTATCCGTAGGAAGGAGGAAAAGAATAATGACAATTTTGACGGCCGATGGTCGTTTATGTTCAACACTATTATCAAAAGCTTGGATCTCAGAGAGATAGAGCTTTCGGGTAGGAAATTCACTTGGGCTAATTCGTTATCGGTCCCGACGTTTGAGAAACTTGACCGTGTCCTAGCCAGTGTCGAATGGGAACAGAAGTTTCCTTTGGTAACCGTGCAGGCATTGACAAGAGGTGTCTCTGATCCTACACCGTTACTAGTCGATTCAGGAGATCAAACTTTTGTGGGCAACAAGAACATTTTCTCGTTTGAACTTGCCTGGTTTGAAAGAGAAGGGTTCCTCGAGTTGTTAGCTCGGGAGTGGGCTAAAGACTCAGGAGGAAGGACGCCTATCGAGCGATGGCAATGCAAGATTCGTCATCTCCGAAGGTTCCTTCGAGGATGGGCTAAGCACACGCATGGTATTTATAAGGCGGAGAAGGAGAGACTTTTTCTACTTATTCAAAACCTTGAAGTTAAAGCTGAAACTTCTATCTTGGATTCCAGTGAGTTGGAAACAAAGATAGTGGCGGAGATGCGACTTAAACAGCTTCTTCGAGAGGAGGAATTGAAGTGGGTGTTGTGAGCTAAGGTTCGCAAGATAGTACAAGGCGAGGACAATACTCAATTCTTTCATATGATTTCTAATGGGAAGCATCGTAAAAAGAGAATTTTCCAGCTAGAACAAGACGAAGGGACGATAGTTGGTCAAGACAATCTGAAAGTCTATATTACCAATTATTATAAACAGTTGTTTGGTCCCCCGGAAGAGAATTTTGTGTCCTTAGATGAGTCTAGGGTTGAGGATGTTCCTCAACTTGAGACTGCCCAGAATGAGCTCCTGACTGCTCCTTTCTCTGAGAAAGAGGTGTTTGAAGCCATTGCACAAATGGAGAATAATAAGGCTCCAAGACCGGATGGGTTTCCGGCGGAGTTCTACAAAAAATGCTGGCATTTTATTAAGGGAGATTTGATGCCCATGTTCCACGAGTTTTTCGAGGGACAGCTTCAGTTGTTTAAGCTGAATTTTGGAACGATAACTCTTCTTCTTAAGAAGACAGATGCTGTTCGCATTGAGCAGTTCAGAGCTATATGTCTGCTTAATGTGAGTTTCAAAATCTTCACCAAGGTCGGGACGAACAGACTTACGCAAATTGCGCATTATGTGGTTCATCCGTCCCAGACTGCTTTCATGCCTGATAGAAATATCCTTGAAGGGGTTGTTGTCTTGCATGAAACGCTCCATGAAATCCACTCAAAAAAACTTGATGGCGTAGTTTTTAAAGTGGATTTTGAAAAAGCATATGATAAAGTTAAATGGCTTTTCTTCAACAAGCTTTGCGTATAAAAGGTTTTGATCCGGCCTGGAGAAACCAGATTGACTCCTTTACGTAAAAGGGAGTGTAGGGATTAAAGTAAATGACGACATAGGTCACTATTTCCAAACACACAAGGGGCTAAGGCAAGGAGACCCGATGTCACCGATCCTGTTTAACATAGTGGCTGATATGCTGACTATTTTAATAGGTCGGGCAAAGGATGCAGGGCAGGTAGGCGGCCTGGTCCCACATCTAGTTGACGGAGGGATTTCCATTCTTCAGTATGCTGATGATACTATCATCTTTATGGAGCACGACTTGGCGAAAGTAAGAAACATGAAGCTGCTGTTATGCTTATTTGAACAATTATCTGGCCTCAAAATTAACTTCCACAAGAGCGAATTGTTTTGTTTCGGAAGAGCAAAGGATGACCAGGACACGTATAAACAATTGTTCGGATGTGAATTGGGCTCCTTACCGTTTACGTACTTAGGTATACCCATTCATCATCGTAAGCTGACTAACTTTGAGTGGAAATGCATCGAGGATCGCTTTGAAAAGAAACTGAGTTGTTGGAAAGGGAAGCTCATGTCATACGGAGGACGATTGATTCTGATTAATTCGGTCCTTACCAGTATGCCTATGTTTCTCTTATCCTTTTTCCAGGTTCCGGTGGGAGTCAGGAAAAGGTTAGATTTTTACCGATCTCGATTCTTTTGGCAGAATAATGAGTTCAAATGAAAGTATAGGCTCGCTAAGTGGGATATAATCTGTAGGCCGAAGGACCAAGGAGGTTTAGGTATTGAAAACTTGGAAGTCAAAAACATATGTCTCCTTAGCAAATAGCTATTTAAACTATCGTCTGAGACGGACGCTACTTGGGCACAGATTTTGCGCAATAAGTATCTTTATGCTAAAACCTTGGCCCAGGTAAATGTGAGGCCTTCCGACTCACCTTTTTGGAAGGGTTTGATGAGAGTCAAACAACTTTTTTTCAACAAGTCAAAATTTATTGTCGGGAATGGTGCCACTACGAGGTTTTGGGAGGATACGTGGCTTGGGGAGACTCCCCTTGCACTTCAATATCCTACTTTGTACAATATTGTGCGACGTAGAGAAGCCTACGTTGCAACTGTTTTACAATCCACTCCCCTCAATATTAGTTTTCGGAGGACGCTAGTTGGAAATCGTTGGGAGGCCTGGCTCCACCTTGTTAGACGTTTGATGGAGGTCCGGCTGTCCCAGCAACCAAATCAGTTGTATTGGAAACTTACTAAGAACGGTGTGTTCTCGGTTAAATCTATGTATCTGGATGTTATTAACTCTAGCGTTGTCCCTTCCTCGATTCATGTTTGGAAAGTAAAGATTCCCTTACGAATCAAAATGTTTATGTGGTTTGTGCATAAACAAATCATTTTAACTAAGGATAACCTGGCAAAATGCAACTGGATGGGCTCTTCTAGGTGTAGCTTTTGCGATCATAACGAAAACATCAAACACCTCTTTCTCGATTGTCCGTTGGCTAAGATTCTGTGACGGTCGATTCATATTGCGTTTAATATTAATCAGCCCACCTCTATCAACATGTTACTTGGAGCATGGCTTGACGGGGTTGATTCCGATACTGCAAGACACATTCGTGTTGGCGTTTGTGCTTTACTTTGAGCAATATGGAACTGCAGAAATGATTTAGTGTTTAACAGATCAACAAACATTCACTTTTTGCAGGTTATCTTCAGGGCCACGGCGTTCATCCGTATGTGGTCGCTACTCACTCCGACGGAAGCCAGGGAGTGGAAGATGGTAGCGCGGGATATTTTCAACCGGTTTGAATGGCGGTCATGTAATAGGATAGGCATGTAGTGCTCCTATTGTGTTTGCCAGCCGGTTGTGGCTTTGGGTTTTAGCTTTTTCGAGTTTTTTGTTTATTTTCGCACCTTGATACTTGACGACTTTGCTACTGGATTATTTTTTTAATAATATGAGCCGTATGCATCTTTCTGATGCAGAGGCTGGGGTAAACCCCTTTTCGAAAAAAAAACATGAAAACATCTATGGAAATCAAAGTTACACAGGCTATACAAAGGAACATGATCAAACTAAACTATCTAAGAACATTCCAAAATCCTAGCTTCCAAAACCGTTTCTGGTATAGCAGTGGTGTCTTCAAAAAGCACTACTGGAAGAAAGCTATAACTATAATCAATCTAACCGTTCCATTGTGCTCCGTCCAAGTTTCCAACTTACTTCTGGACTGCGCCGTCTGCACGTATGATACAACAGCACCCTTCCCAGAAGACTGGAAGTAATCGTTGGCCTTCAGGTGCTCCTGTCACCGTTTCTTCCACTCCATTTTACGGCCAAGTAACTCATAGCCACCTATGGAGAAAATATCCCGATAGCTTGTATTATAACACTGTTCTTTTGTGCAAAATGTTTCATTTTTGTATTGCATATATGACTGATCACATGTAACACTAGAAGGCCATTTCCTGAAGAACTTTCAGTGTTGTTTGATGTACCTATAACAGTCAGATATGGAAAAGGGAATTATTTTTCCAGACAAGGGTGGCATTCAGGGCAACTTATAGTTCAATGGAATGAAGGTAGCTCACCCATTCTAGATGTTGTGCTGTAATACCAGATGTGTTCTTTGCATATATGCCGCCTAAGACCTTACCACAAGTTGAAGAAGTTGAATTACCACAATGTAAACTCATAAATACTTAACGGAAACTAATGCGCTCATTTCAAAGAAAATATATGTTTAAATTAGCATGATACCTTAGAAACTGTCTCGAGGAACATTCCAGGCCGGACAGGCTGTGGCTTGCGGCCTGTTGCATTTTCCTAATGTTCACGTAAACATGTGGAGTCAACAACAGTCCGGCTCATGTACATTATATGTGAACTTGGTGATGATAGACACTATCCAAGTTGTATCCAAGCCTTACCCTTCCAGATGTCCCAGTTGAAGGTTCCAGGTCAGAATTTGGTCCGGCATTTGTGCTTTCAGTGTTATCAGCACCTTCCTCTTTGCCATGCATAACATCACTGATCATCTTCTCCACTGCTTTCCCTGGCTTGAGAGCGACCAGTTTGCTCAAGAAGTTCACCTGTTCATGAGGATTACAAACCAAACAGAGCAGCTCTTACACCAGACCAAAGTAATTAAGGATATTCCAAGTCTACCACTACACATGGTATTGAAGATTGCAACTATGTTATTTTAGGAGTCCAACATATCTAAAACACACCTCTGCTTGAGGAAGGGTATTGAGACCACGATCATTTCTTTCATCTAAAAGGCCACCTCCCATCATATTTCGAGCTTCCTCTCTTACTATAACTAGTCTGGCCAGAAGTTTTCGATCAGGAATTGTGGGTCTGGTTTCCATTGACTGCAGCAATAGAGAAAAAATATGTCAAAAGATCAGGGAACTATTTGTTGACATGGATATCCAAATAAATTAACTACTTCAAGAAGCACTCTTCCTAATGTCTAGTCATAAACAAGAAGTGTACTGACATCACATGTGTCTAGTGAATTATGTCTGATGTTTCAGAATTTCAAATATTAATTACAGATTCAGTTTGCCATCAATCCATCATCACAGATTGAAGGATCAATTCAGATGACATGTATTTTAAGCTTTTTTGGGAACTGTATTTCATGTTTAGATAGGCAAAATGATCTCTTCTAAATGGCATGCAAAATGATCTCTTCTAAATGGCATTGGATGAAGGTACGAGGCTTTTCTTGTTCATCATCATTGTAAAATAAAATACCAGTCAATTATATTTCTCCAGAAATGGACCAGGGATTTATTGAATATTGATGCAAATAAAGAAGTACCAGAAAATGTGTAGTTCACAATGTTAGTGTTGATAATTTCATATAATGGACAATGCGCAGTGTGTATCACATGCAGAATACACACCAGTTCACAGACTTAGTTTAGTCATTTTTGAGGATGCATCTCAGTTTCAACCAATTTCAGAGCATCAATAATGCAGGAACGATGATTTGTTTTATCTATTTGAGGGGAATGAATGATACTAAAAATTATGGAAACTGGACTCAGATTTTTATAAAGTACCCCCTCCGTTCCTGTGATTTAGGCGTATATTTCTCAGCGCCCTCCCAAAGGAGAGCCCACGATCAAAATTACTTTCCCTGCTTACCCCTGGACTTATGGCCTCAGGAAGGAATTCTTGACAGGGGACGTAAAGGTGGAGCCAATCGTGGAAAGAGTGATAACAGCATGCAATTAATGTGGCCGTGAGTTAAGGGATCCGTTGAGCAAAAGTACTGATGACATGAGGGCATTACAGAAAACAAACACTAACAATTGCTTTCCCTAAAAAAAACACTAACAATTGCTTCTGCGCCTTCCTTTTAGAAATATTTGGCAGAAAAATGTAAGTCTTGTTCTCCAGAAAGGAGGGAGTAATAGAAGACCAGGATGCAAACACAATGACCTAGAACTCTGCCACTTTGGGAGGTGGTTGTACAGTTTAGCATATGTTATATAGGGGTGTCATGTATGCATGACAGTTGTTCATAAGTCATCTCCAAATGTCAGCTTTGCTAACATAACAATGCTCACTGGTCAGTGGAGGCAGGAGAAGTGGCCAGTGGCTCATTGTCATATGATGATATGAACTTGAACTATCCAAGGTCACATTGGCTACAATAACCAGCTCAAACAGGTCAAAAGTTGGACACGAGAAATCAATTACAGTCCAAGATGGTAAAAAAGAAAGTTCAAAACCATCTGCAGTTCCTCATCAATCAAGCCGGGGGTGTTAACCGTCTTTACGGTAAAAAATAATCTAAAGTTCGTCATGCCCTAACACAAATGTCATTCACATACTAGTTTTTTAGTTGAATAAATCCAAGTGGCAGAACTGTTATATAGTTCAGTCCATTAGAAATCTGCAAATAACAAAGAGAAGTTGCAATAAAGCTGTACGTCCAGCATAACTTTTGGCAGTCATGGGCTCATAGCTATTAACCAGGGAAGCAGTTATATGCATTCAGAAAGAGAACTACACATGTTCAAGAAAAGGTATGATCTGCACAAATTTCTAATCCAGTTATGTAATGCTGTAAAATATTCTCAGTCTTGAAGAGTATGTTTTTAGTTGCATTTTATGTTCATTTGAGACATGTAAATAACAATCATAGTAATAACGTAAATAACTATGTAGCAACAGGAGCCAATGTTCTGCAAGCCAACACTACTTGTGCTCCATGCAATTATATATGAATTAAAAATGACCGAGAATCTAAGTGCGGAAGTGTCAAGATAGCATATTCATCATGAATGAACACACGCTCTTCAACCTACCTCCAGCAGATCATCCGCCTGATTTGCAATGTCATTGAGATTTGCTCCTGGAATTTGACACTTCAGGCCTTTATCATTTTCAAACACGCCACCACCGGCAGCTACACGACGTAGTAATTCATGTCTGCTCTCTTTCTTTTCAGTCTGGCAAAGGAGTCCAACTACTTGAACCTGGTTGATAAATGCAGACTCGTCAGACAGCATAAATATGCATACAGAAATAAATAAAATGATGGACTCATGTAAGCATTGTTGCAGTAGAAGTAACACTCACATGCGGAGGGCATTTTTTCGTCAGATGGTCTAGCACTGTCTGCTTGACTATTTCAAGAAGTGAGTTACGCTGCCATTGTAAAACTGGAATGTAAGCAAAGTAGAAAAAGCTTGTAAAACAGAGAAAAGCATATACATGTAACAGGAATACAGGATACTAATAATTAGTCCAGCTGATAACAGTGCCTCAGAATATCTTTCATGGACCCCGTCTACATCAAATTGCAGCAAAGCATTTTCAGGGATGTCTTCAGGAACTTAACACATACCCAGATAAGGCCCACGATCAATTGGAAATGAGTAACATTATAAAATTAGGGTGTTAGACAAGTAAGCATGTCTCGCAACAGTTCTTGTGGACTTCAGAGTTACCCTATTCCCACAAAGCATTTTCAGTAATATCTCCCAGAATAACTAGATTACATGTTAAACCATGCTAATGAGCAATTTAACATGAGTACATACTACATACTCCCTCCGTCCGGAAATACTTGTCATCAAAATGGATAAAAGGGGAATTATCTAGACGTATTTTAGTTCTAGATACATCTCTTTTTATCCATTTTGATGACAAGTATTTTCGGACGGAGGGAGTACATACAGATTAATGCTTTGTCATCTGTTGCACAATCATAATTGGAGAGAGATAAACCGATAGTGCATCATTTTGTACCACAATATGGCAAAGCCACTACAGCACACAGCATAGTTCTCATTTGTGATGCTAAATGATATCTGACGGAATGTTCATTCAGAAAAGTTAGATGCAGGTCAATGATGTAGAATGCTGAGTTGGGCGAGGGAGGTACCAAGCTACCTCATCATCACCATCCTTCTGCGCGAGCTGTATCATGTAATCTAGTGCCATTAGAAAGCCAGACTCCATCTCATCAACCCTATTCCCAATTACTCCCTGAGCCACCAGCTCCACGGCCACCGGTGCAAATGCACCATCCATCTCCATGTCTTCCATCTACAACACCACCAATATACATAAACAACAACAAAGACACAGTGTTACAACTGTAGAACCCTCACAGCAGCAAATTCAACAATTGGCCCACATCATGAAGCATACTGAGATAAATCCGAGTCATCATTCAAGATTCATCCATTCATCGATTGACCAAATGTAACATGACACAATGTATGACAAAATTAACAATTAATGAGCTGATCGAACGGTTAAAATGTGCTACTTCATCTAAATAAAACCCAAAAATGGTATTGTTCATAAATACACGACTTACCAGAAAACATGCAGTCAAAGTTTGAATACTAATATTAAAAAAAATATTCAGATCATTGTTCGTATTGTTCAATTCGTAAATACTAAGGAGGTTAAATAATAATATCATTAGATTTGTCATGGAAAGTAGTTTATATAATTACTACAGAATTGCATAATATTTTAAATAACATGTGTGCACAGAAAGTAATTAGTAAGACACCTGGAGAGTGTGTCATCTCAATGTCTAAAAACTTGTCTATTTCAAAATGGAGCGACTACAGTTTACCACCCAACAAGAGCAGAGCACATTTCAACAGTAGATAATAGGTCCCGGCAAAAAAAAACAGCAGATAATAGGTCAGAATAATTTAACACAAACAATCATCCAGATAGCTCGAAAATCATAGTAACTACCGTTTCCATGGTCTTTCGTGACAGGTAGTATCCACAAACCACGAGAGAATTTGCCATTTCATGGAACTGTTCTAAATGACGAAGACTGAAACTAAACTAAACTAAACTAAAGCTTCGTCCATCCGTCGCTAGGAAGATAAGCAGAGAGGTGACGAAATTTCGTACCAGCGTGAGCATCTCCTGGAGCACGGAGGCGACCTGTTCGCCGCCGCGGAGGAGGGCGTCGCACTCGGCGGGGTCCCACTTAGCGGGGTCGTCCCCGAGTGGGGACGGCGAGGCGATGGGGAGGGGCACCTTGGGCTTCGCGCCGAGGCAGACGACGAGGGTAGCACGGGAGGGGACCTGCGGCCTGAGGAGGGAGGCGGCGGGCCTGCTGGGTAAACAGGGGAGCACGGCGGTGGGAGGGGCGAGGGACAGGGAGAGGGCCGCCATGGCTTTGCTCTGCTCGGCCTGCGGAGAGAGAGGACAGGGTAGGTGGCAGACACGGGGGAATCAGAACGAGTGGGTCTAGAGTCCATCCTCACACAGTTGAAATGCTGCTTCTCCCTTCTCCTTTCCAAAAGAAAGTGGATCTCATAGCCTCTGACAATTCAAAAAGTAGGTCTCAGTCTCATTTTCAGATCCAATTTTTCACTGGAAAGAGAATCTTATATTCTTTAAGCCAAGCTGCCAATCCTAGGGTCAATGTGAAACAGGAAATTATTGCTATTTTTGAGCAGTTAGAGAATCGAAATTCCACTCATTTAGAAATCGATCTGCAAATGCCAAAGGAAGGATAAAGGGAGCCTACACCAACGTAGATGCGATGGGTTTCCTACTTTCGATTTTGAAATATCACCCTAGCCCTTTGTTTTTGTTTTTCTTTGACTAGTATTTTTAGTTGAACAGCTAATTTTATTTAACTCAAATTACAACTAAATCGTCTGTAAGAAACTTAACGATAAACTCTGAGGGTAAGTCAAACCAAACCTAAGGCTAGTTTTCATGACCCAACTACCTAGCCCAAACATGCCCTAGATTCTCTATTACAAAACTCGACACAAGCCATCCCGAACTCACTTAAATCTCATTCACGGTTTTCTTTTTTCTTTGACTAGTTATGGATTGCAATAGGAACATAAATATTTCACTGGTTTAACAATAATAACATGTACTATGTTTCTAAATATACGACTAGGATCCTTATGCACATCAAAAAGCATCATGGACTTATTTTTATCTCAGAAACACTCTTTTTCTTCTTTTATTTATTATCTTTGTCTCTCGGATACATGCACCCCATCATCGTTGATAGTACATCCAAACTTACAATCCTACAACTCTCCCTCAAAACCAATGTATGTTAAGCAACAAATTAAGATGTTGTACTCACTCTGTTCACTTGTATAAGTCGTTTAGGACAGCTGAAATTGAACTGTTTTAGGTGTTGTCTTAAATATCTAAAAGGTTTTATAAAAGTGAACGGATGGAGTATTAAAAATTGGTATAAAAAAGTGTTAAAAAGACTTTTTGCGCATAGTTAGTATAAAAACTAGTGCAGAAATGCTTACACACAATCATAATTAATCATGCGCCACATTCAATCCATGCTACATGTATTTTTTTGACATATCGACGGTATGCAATATTTCGCACGTCACCAGTGCAATGTTGTTTGTGGCGTGCGAGCATACGACTACGCCAACGATGTGTAGGCCCAATAGTATGACCCCCTACAAATGTTATCCATTTGGCTCCAAAGGAGCAAGCGCGGGAGTTCTAATAGGACTTTGAGACTCGAAAAATCCTTCAGGCTGCTGAGAACAGAGAGAAGTAGTTGCGGGGAGGTTTGATAGGGTTAGGCAGATGCCCCATTATTCGTAGACAAGAAGAAATCCAGATTAGTTTGATGAAGTTGTGGCTTAGCACAAGCATGGTGTCAATGTGGTTCCTCTCGACTAAACACTTGGCGTGCCCCAGACAGGAGGTATGCCAAAGACATGACACGCCACTAATTCCATCGTTAGTTGTGGCACGGGTTTTCTCGGCACGCTACTAGTTTGTTTCCAGGCCTAGTTTTTAAGTCATGTTTTCGGGATCAAATTACTTGTGGTGTGGGCTGCGAATCACACGCCACAAACCGGGTTGATTTTACCTAGGTAGAAACCTAGCCGTCACACACTTCAATCTATCTCCACTCATCCCTCCCTCTCGTGACCAGTCGCCGCACCTGATCTTGCCAAAGAAAGCCGCCCCCTCGTCACTGCCGAAGGTCGTCGCTCGTCACCACGAAAGGTTTGATCCCAACATCTCCTTCCCCAAAAAGAACTGGAAGTGTAACTATCCCTAGGTGGTTTTGGTAATTCCTAACAACATATAGCTCATTGAGCTAACATTATTTCAAGATTAATATTTCAGGAAAAGCTCAATGAATGGCATTGGCATGGATGAGGAAAATGGACCCCTCAAAATACTAAGGACAAAAAGATTGGTTCAAGCTTCAAGATCAAGACTCTACATTTTATATTTTAGTGATCCAAGATCACATTGAGTCTATAGGAAAAGCCAATACTATCAAGGAGGGATGAGGTATTGCTTGATGAGGTTCTTGCTTCATAGTGCTTAGTGATATGCTCCAAAAACCCTCAACTACCTTCCCACATCCACATATGACCTAAACCAAAAGTCAAACTCGGCCCCACCGATTCTTTCTATCCGGCGCCACCGAGTTCAGATGTCATAGCCACTGCCACAAACCATAGGCAAATCGGTCTCACCGATAGGGATCTCGGTCAGACCGAGATGGGGTTGTAATCTCTCTGTTTCCCTTCGTAACGTTTCGGTCCTACCGAGATGAGCGATCGGTCCCACCGAGATTGCAATGTAAACTCTCTGTTTCCCTTTTGTAACATTTCGGTCCCGCCGAAATGAGCAAATCGGTCCCACTGAGTTTACCTGACCAACTCTCTGGTTAGCTTATTACCAAAATCGGTCCTACCGAGTTTGTGTAATCGGTCACACCCAGATTACGTTATGCCCTAACCCTAACCATATCGGTCCTACCGAGTCGCATCTCAGTCCCACCGAAAATCCTAAGGGTCACTAGGTTTGCTAAATCGGTCCGACCGAGTTTCTCAATTCAGTCTCACCGAGATTGGTAAATTATGTGTAACGGTTAGTTTTTGTGTGGAGGCTATATATACCCCTCCACCCACTCTTCATTCGTGGAGAGAGCCATCGGAACATACCTACACTTTCAATACACATTTTCTGAGAGAGAACCACCTACTCATGTGTTGAGGCCAAGATATTCCATTCCCACCATATGAATCTTGATCTCTAGCCTTCCCCAAGTTGCTTTCCACTCAAATCTTCTTTCCACCAAATCCATATCCTGTGAGAGAGAGTTGAGTGTTGGGGAGACTATCATTTGAAGCACAAGAGCAAGGAGTTCATCATCAACACACCATTTGTTACTTCTTCGAGAGTGGTGTCTCCTAGATTGGCTAGGTGTCACTTGGGAGCCTCCGACAAGATTGTGCAGTTGAACCAAGGAGTTTGTAAGGGCAAGGAGATCGCCTACTTCGTGAAGATCTACCGCTAGTGAGGCAAGTCCTTCATGGGCGATGGCCATGATGGAATAGACAAGGTTGCTTCTTCGTGGACCCTTCGTGGGTGGAGCCCTCCGTGGACTCGCGCAACCGTTACCCTTCGTGGGTTGAAGTCTCCATCAACGTGGATGTACGATAGCACCACGTATCGGAACCACGACAAAAACATCTGTATCTCCAATTGCGTTTGAATTCTCCAAACCCTTCCCTTTACATTCTTGCAAGTTGCATGCTTTACTTTCCGCTGCTCATAGACTCTTTGCATGCTTGCTTGAATTGTGTTAAGATTGCTTGACTTGTGCTAAGATTGCTAAAATCTGCCAAAGACTAAAATTGGGAAAATGTTAGATTTTTAATTGGTCAAGTAGTCTAATCACCCCCCCTCTAGACATACTTTGGATCCTACAAGTGGTATCAGAGCTTTGGTCTCCATTTGCTTTGATTTCCATAGCTTTTGGTGGTCATAGCCTTGGTTTCACAACCTAGGAGAGTATGGCGTCTAGCGAGGGAAATTACCACCATAGAGGTCCTTACTTTGATGGTACTAATTTTGCTAGTTGGAAGCATAAGATGAAAATGCATATTCTTGGACATAACCCTGCCGTTTGGGCTATTGTGTGTGTTGGCTTGCAAGGTGAATTCTTTGATGGGAGAGAACCGAATCGTGAAGCTACCGCGGAAGAGTTGAAGATGCTACAATACAATGCTCAAGCTTGTGATATCCTCTTCAACGGATTGTGCCCCGAAGAATTCAACAAAATCAGCCGTCTTGAGAATACAAAGGAAATTTGGGATACTTTGATTGATATGCACGAAGGTACCGACTCCGTCAAGGAATCCAAGTTGGATGTGCTTCAAAGTCAACTTGACAATTTCAAAATGAAGGATGGTGAAGATGTCACTGAAATGTACTCTAGGCTTGCTCTTATCACAAATGAGATTGCCGGCTTAGGAAGTGAAGAGATGACCGACAAATTCATCATCAAGAAGATCCTAAGAGCCTTGGATGGAAAATACGATACCGTATGCACATTGATCCAAATGATGCCAAATTACAAAGCTCTCAAGCCAAGGGAAGTCATTGGAAGAATTGTTGCTCATGAGATGTCACTCAAGGATAAGGAGGAGCTCCATAACAAGTCAAGTGGTGCATACAAAGCCTCATGTGAAGCTCCCACATCATCAAGTGAGAAACAAACCTTCAATGAAGAATTGAGCCTAATGGTGAAGAACTTCAACAAGTTCTACAAGAATAGAAGCAAAGAGAGAAGTTCCAAGTCAAGGTCCTACAATGACAAAAGATCTTCTAGTCGAGAGAGAAACTGCTACAATTGTGGAAGACCCGGACACTACTCCAATGAGTGTACGGCTCCCCACAAGAGAAGAGAAGATTCTCCCAAAAGAAGAAGTAGAAGAGAAGAATCACCATCAAGGGAGAGAAGGAGTAGGGATGATCGATATGAACGAAGACCCTCCGGAGAAGCAAGGATTCGGAAAGGAAGGACAAGTCATCAAGGAGCTACACAAAATGAAGACATCAAGCTCATGTTGGTGAATGGGTATCCGGCTCCGACTCCGACAATGACTCTGAGAGAAGCTATCACTCCGACTCCAAATATACTCAAGATGAAGGTGTTGCCGATCTAGCACTTGTGTCAACCAACTCCTACGACATATGTGATTCACCAAATTAAGGAATTGGAAGATGCTTCATGGTCAAAGGTCCAAAGGTATCACACCCCGAGTATGTTGATTTCAATAGTGATGAAGATGACTTGTTAGGTGATGATGATTTACTTGTTGACAACTATAGTGATGAATACTATGATGAAACGTCAATTA